CAATGAAGAAATAAGACACAACTTTACTTTCATGATTTTAATTCATTTAATTTTACATATTCATATACATAATTTCACATATTCATATAATCTACTGGAGCAGGAAGAAAGAAACTGGTAAATAAGGCACATTTTTAATAAGAACCAAGATGGAGATTTAAAAAAGGATACTTGGGACATTTTTAATCATCACACCAAAGCAAAAAATATTGATATGCTATAGTTTTTATACGATCATTTGGTGTACGCGTATTTCCTTGTTTTGTTGTTGATGTAAGTTATATGTAAGGTATCACAGGGTGATATTGAATTTGTGTTGAAGAACCCAATACCATTTGGTCTTCTTATCTAGTAGGTTGCTGATAGCCTGTAATCATCTGCTTAATTAAATTTCCTGACGCAGGGCTCAGAAGTTACCAGAGGAGATTAAGATGATGCTAACAGGAAAGCTGTTTGCTAATTGTTTTTAGTAAACACAAGCCATGAGTGCTGGCAATGGAAAGAAACAACACAGGGGCAAACTGGGGAATATTTGGTATTATCAAGTAGACGGAGTGATAGTCAATTCTGGGCTCCACATTTTAGGGTTGGTGACAAACAGGAGCTGCCCAAATGGCTGTCATTAGATGACTGGATTCTTTCACTTGCTTTATTCACATCACCCTGCTCTAGGAGGTAGCCATTGGAAGATGAGGGACCTTGTCTGTCTCATTCACAACTCAAATCTAGGGCCATGCTTATGGCCTAACATACAAGTATTACAGGTGTTCAATAAACACGTGTGGGGCAAAGTCAATGAGAACGTCTGCAGCAACTGTGGCCCACACTCCAGCCCCTTCACCCCTTACCTGCTGCCAGATTGGACTCTCAATTTCCTTCTCTCCCACCCTGCCCTCAGGAAATTCTCTTCCTGACACTTAGAATGAGATGTGAGTCACAATGGCTCATAGATCTGTCCCCTGTTAAAGAAATGTCAGGAATTAAGAGGCTGGAGAGCAGGCTGGCTATCGGACTGGGACAGGGAGTCAGATGGCCCCACTTCACCTACCTATACCCCAGGCCTGGATTTTGGAAACTAAGCGTCAGGAATTAAGAGGCTGGAGAGCAGGCTGGCTATCGGACTGGGACAGGGAGTCAGATGGCTCCACTTCACCTACCTATACCCCAGGCCTGGATTTTGGAAACTAAGTGTCAGTGTGTAAAGGATCCTGGAGAGTATCCGTTTCATCCTTGTAACCTGACAAATGAGGAAACTAAGGCCCAGAGCAGGAAAACAACTCTAGGCTTGCCAGTGAGGGAACCAACCAGGTGAGATACCCAGCTTGGTCTAAACAAGTGGAAAAAAACACTGAAATCCTAAAGTGAATGTTCTTCCCCTTCCAGCACTGCCAATTATTGGCCACTTGACCTTGACCAAATGATTTAACTCATTAAGCATTGTTTTCTCAACTGAGAAAAAGAAAATAGTTTTCTCACCACTTCTTGGTGGTGCTATAAAGACAAAACAGAGCATATAATGTGCTTACAGCAATGTCTGACATGAAATTAAAAGTAGACACTGTTATTGTCATTATTATTTTTACCACAACCACCGACCCCAATCCTCTAGATGTTTAGGCTCCAGTCTGGTTCTGCTTCCCTCTGGAGGAGTGATTACTCAAGACTGTGTAATCTCTCTTCTCTAGCACCTTTGGCTACCAGGATCCTGAACTATAACACATGTGAAGGTGCCTTTGTTGGCGGAAGCGTTGAATGGGCTAGGACAGCAGAGGGGAGAGAGCCACAGAGAGAATTCCAGTTTCCACATTTGGGATCTAAAAATGTCAAATTAGGTCCTTGATTTTCAAATGATGTGGACTTGTGGGGATCTAGAGCTCTGAGGTCAAGGTGGGGAGGACAGAAGACCACTGCACAGCTCCTGACACCTGCTCTGCTTAATAGAGCATCTCTGCTTCTATCTCATTGGTGTATTGGGGCTCCATGTGAGAGAGAATTCAAAGACATGGTCCTACAGCTAATACAGTTTGAAAAATCAAATGCATTCTAAGATTTTTAAGGTAATTTTTGCTAAAAAGAAAAAAAAAAAACAACTGTGAACTATTGTTTCCTTTATTTATTCATCTAACTTGAAAAATCAAATGCATTCTAAGATTTTTAAGGTAATTTTTGCTAAAAAGAAAAAAAAAAACAACTGTGAACTATTGTTTCCTTTATTTATTCATCTAACCCCAAACATTGATTTAGTGGCTAGGGAAAAGCAAACAAACAAACAGAACACAAGTATCCTGACTCCCACTCCAGTGCTCATTCCAGCACATCACTACAGATTTCAGATGGGAGTGGAAAGAAAGAAGACACAATTTCTTTCATCCCAGTACTAAGCTGTCAGGGCCTTCTCAGCTTTTACCATTTTTCTATTCTGCATCTTAGAATGGATTATAAATCTCTACTCTAGGAAACAGGGTAGGCCAGGAGGTGATCAGACACTTAGAGGCAAAGTCTGGGAGGATGTTACTTTGGCAATACCATCTTCAATACAGAATGGCTTATGAATCTAATTATCCAGGATCCTCCTGGCCATTCAGTCCTTAGCTCTTTTGCAGGAGCCACAAGTGCAAAAGGCATTTAAAGAGGCCAGGCAGTTAACGCCAATGTCAAGGGTCTGACGGCTGAAAGATTGGGGCAAAACTGGAGAATGAAAGCCTTTTGGTGTCTCTGAGATCCAGCCAACAGTGGAGGCTAGGACATCACCCAGTTCCCTGTGTTTGCCTCCTTGTTCTTCGGTCACAACCCCATGCTTAGACCACCAGACCTCAGGCCTTGGCCAGATGGACTATTTCTCTTTTTAAACTTATTTTTAGAAAATAAAATTCTACTGGGTAGAGATGAGTGGTCTCCAGAAGGTTTTATTTCCTGTCTGAGTCAGGTTCAGCACTTTCAATTTCTGCAGCCTTGCCTTCCCTGAGCATTCAAAAGTCCTCCGGTGATGCCCCCTCTATTTCAAGAGCCCCCAAAATGAATCTGAGTGACTACAGATAAGTTTTTGGTACTTTCCAAAATTAAACTATTTCCCTTGGTAAATTTCCAGCATATGAGCTCATTAATCTGAAAACAGGATGTGGCACATGAAGAGAGTGCAGTCAGATTGCCTGTTCTTTTCAATTACACCAGCTTAGTGCAGAGAGGAAGGGTGGGTGGGACCACAGAATGGCTTTCCTAGGCCCCAAATCCTTGAGAAACTTCACTTCATGGATTGGACTGAGAATCAATGAATTTTAAAATCAGAGACTTAAAAGAACTCTTTGAATCCTTCTCTCTTAGAATGGAAAGGCCCCACAGATGCAGCTCTGGCCAAACTCACCGATTGCAGCCTCTTGGAGGCTCCTGAGACTCTCTGCTTGTTCACAAGCAGGCATCTCCCTTCCAGGTGGAACCCCGAGGGCCTCCTATCACCAGTGGGACACTGCCCTGCAGCAGCTGCTCAGCCTCTGAAGGGTGAGAGAGTTACATACATCCCAGGTTAAAAAACAACCAAGAACAAAAGAAGCGACAGCCTGGGGTCAAGACAGAAAAAGGACCCTAATACATAAAGAGAATGTAGCTGGTGCTTGTGAGGAGTTTAAGCCAACAAGGCCGGGCAGCCTCGCTCCTGCCTCAGCCATCAGTCCCACAGGTATTAGTGGTGTGATGGAGCAGGAGCCTTTGCCAAACTGGCGGCTCACAAAAATAAAGCTTGTTTGTATCTTTTAAACTAGAATTCTACCCCAACACTAAGATCCATAGCTATTTTTGAATAGCATACACAAATTTATAGGGAATAAGTGGCCGTGTGTGTGTGCGTGTATTTACACGAATACAGAAACGGTTCCTTAAAAGACCCCGATTTGTGGAAGCTCAGCGCCTTTGGAACCGCCTGGTGCCATCACTGCACCGATGGCGGCGACCCAGTGAGCGCGGCCGAGCCTGGCGCTGTGCTAGGGCCCCCGCAGGGACCCAAGAGGACTGAGACTCGGCTTTGCTGCCTTCCAGCCCCTCCCCACGCGGGATTTCAGGCAGGCCGAGGAGCAGGGTGAGGGTTCAAACTCCAGGTTTGTCCTCGTTTATTCTGGGAGCAACACTTGCAGGCACTGCACGAGGTGCCAGGAACAGGGCGCGCGGAGGCGGGACAGTGAGCGTGCTCGTCACCCCAGGAGCTCAGTGCCTGCGACGCCGTAGACCCGGCCTCAGTTTCCCCATCGGGGGAGCCCTCGCCGCGCACCGAAGGCAGCCTCGGGGACAGGCTCGGGCTGGGGGGACCGACCCCGGGCTCCGGGCGCCGGCCCTGCCTCCCGCGGCTTCCGCCGCGCCCCACCGGAAGCTCCCGGCCGGGTCG